AGTCCGCGCTCACCAGCATTGCGGTGTCCACCTGGACGGCGGTGGCCTCGCATCCCTTGCCGGGCTGGGGTGGCCCGGGAGGGGCGGGGCGCCACTCTCCCTCCTCTGTGGACAGCTAGGAAGGATCCGCGTAGCCCCCTGGCAGAGGACCCTGGATGTGTGCGGCCTGAGAAACCTGGCAGTCCTCCTGGCGGCAGGCCGATGTCCCATCTCCCGCCGCTTTCCTGCGCACTCCCACGTCCACCGGGCTTAGCCCTGCCGCACTTGGGCGATGAAAACCCAGCGAATCCCTTCTCGGTCCCCCGCCCCCTTCTTTTTTCTCTGACCGTGGTGTGAAGCTGTACGCTCAGAGTTCACCCCGCAAGGCCACTGCCTCCTGTCTTCTGCGACCCAGCAGAGTGTGTGTGGCCACAGGGCCCGGGATGGCTTCTGCCCTGGGACCAGGCAGATGCGAGCGAGTGCGGTGGATGCGGAGACGCAGCCGGTCCTGTGCTGAGTGGTGTGTGTGGAGCCGAGGGGATGAGGCCCTCAGATCTGGTTCCGCCAAGGAGGCTCACCCTTTTCCCAGCCTTGGCTCCCTCTGTCAGCCTGTACTTCCTGTTCCACCCAAAGCATTTGTGCTCACTGCCCCTTCCCTCTGGACGCCTCCCCCAGGGCCTGGGTCCCTCTCTCCCCAGTTCACCTGTGCGGTTCTACCCACCCCCCAGGGCCCCGTGGAACAGCGCTTCCGTGGTGAATCACCCGGGCTGGTGAATCTCCCTTCCCCAGCGCCTGCTCTCCTGCGTATTTGCCCTGTCACAGAGCTCACCTCCCTCTGTTGCGGGTTTGTGTGAGCCTGGCCTTCCCGTCTTTGTGCCCCGCAGCACCCTGCACCGTGCCTTGCCTATTGTAGTGACCAATAAACACTTGCTGAGCAGAATTTGTGTGTGTGTGAAGGGGACAGGGTGGGTGGTCAGGCAGAGAGATGCACACCTCCCAGTACTTTGGGAGGCTGAGGCAGGAAGATCACAAATTTCAACCCAGCATAGGCAGTTTAGCCACTTAGCAAGACCCTGTCTCAAAATAAAGCAAAAAAGGGCTGGCTGGGGATGCCCTGGCAGGGGATGCAGTGGCCCTGGATTTCGTCCCTGGGGTATCAGTCAGTGCTCACTGGAGAGATGGATTTAAATAAGATCTATAAATAAATATGGATTTACCAGGTGGGCTTACCATGGCGGTCCACGGTCAGGTGTGGAAGGGTACAAAAGGGCTGTCTGTGCAGAGCCCACAGGCCTGGCGCTCACTGTAGACTCCTGTGCGAGTCCATATCAGGAGCTGAAGTCTGTGCTGGAAACCAGGAGAGGGACGTCCAAGGCGAAGATGAAGACTGGCGCCCCCCCTAGGAAACCCAAGTGAGTTCCCTGCTTCTTTCCTCGTATTTACTCCATCCAGGCCGCCAGCCTATTGGTTGGTGCCACTCACACCCAGGGTGGGTCTCCCCTCTTCAACAAGTCCATCAGCCACACCTGGAACTATGCAGGCCAATTAGTCGGGCATTTCTTACTCAAACCCACGCACCCAGTGTGATACCAGGAAGCACGGAGCGAGCGCAGAGATGCGGGTCCCCTGACAGGGCAGCACGTCGGTGTGGGAGCCTGGGACATGCTGGTGACCCCTCGGCCTGTCATGTGAGGCACAGCCGCCTCTCAGTGGCTGATGATTTATAAGGCAACACGGAGTGCTGGAGGTGTTATTCCTCAACGTGGCTTCTTGGACGCTCTGGGCTGGGATCACCTGGACTGCCTGATAGGAACCCAGATTCCTCAGTGCTCCCCAAACTTTTTGGATCGGAACATTTGGGGCTGACCCTCAGGAACCTCAGCTCACATGCCCCTGAGCCTCTGCTATCCAAGGTTGTCGCTATAACCAATGAACCAAGCTGCTGTGTCCTAGTCTTCCCGTTCCTTTCCCACCACCACTGGATGTGACCCTAACCATGGGAGGGAGGCTTCCACACTGGAGCAGTCAGCGGCCCTCCTTGGGCTGCCACCGAGGGGTCAAGGAGCATGGCGTTCCACTCTGTGCCTGGGCCTGGGGGCCCCCGCTAGTATTTGGCCAGCCAAGCCCACGGAAGCGCACCTCTTTGTTTACATAAAAATGTGGTACAGTAAAAGACACATTGCTCCTAAGCCCCCTCAAGTCACCTCACTTTGAACACTTTTACCCTCCTGTTTTTGCCATTTGCTAAAGCGGTTCTGGAAGTCCTCTGTCCTGAGTGTCTTAGTTGCTCTGGGATGGGTGCCTCGATGTCCTGAATTGAGTCAAAACATTTACCCTTGACCCAGTTGTACCCCTTTGAGGTGTCTTCCTGGGAGTTAAAGACACTATATTTCACTGATCCATGCATACCCATGTTTATAGCAGCTCAACTCATAATAGCTAAACCTCGGAAGCAGTCTGTATGTCCATCACCAGATGAATAAAGGAAACGTCGTGTTCATAAACAGTGGAGCACCACTGTTTACTCTGTCATAAAAAGGATGAATTCTTTTATAGTCCTATTGAGACCATAATGCAAAGTGAAATAAATCAGACACAGAAGATTAAATATCATGGTTTCTCTTGTATGACTGGTGTGTGGGAGACTAAGGCTCACTGTATGTGAGTGTACTGTTCCTTGGAAAGTCGCCTGGTCAGCGTGGCCCCAAACCAGTCCTGGTTACTCAGTTCCCTCTGTGGTGCCATTAGAGGTCGTGGAAATGTTAGCACGCTGGCATCTCTAACACATACCGGGTCTCCAGGTCTGCTGTGGCAGTTATGGAAGGGTCTATGCTCCTGCAAGAAGGAGCTGGGTGGAGGAAGCAGGGAAGGCAGGACCGGGAGACTGGCTCTAGCAGAGCGACACAGGCCACAGTATCAGGGGACTGGTGGCAGACTGCTGATCTTCCAGCAAGGACTGGATGGCAGGGAGCATTCGACGGGATTCCCAGAGACTTTTTAAAGCAGAAACTGAAGTTTCCTGGAGTAGTCAAGCGTGGGTTTGAGTCCATTATAATTTGGATTATCAGTGAAATGTGTTCTCAAAGTCTGGTGAATCCTGGAAAATATTGTGATTTAGAAAATAAGTGATCGATTTTAGGGTAGATTTTTTTTTAAAAAAGTGCACTTATTGACACAAAATAAAAATAAAAATGTGCTGAAGCCCAAACCTTCAGAAGTCTATGAATGAACTTAACATTTTAGGACTCCACGAGTGCGGTGAAATGGAGAAAGTCTTGGTTAGAGTTTGGGGGCTGTACTTACCAGTCCCCTGTGGCGAGCCGGCTGCCAGGACGGCCACCAGCAGGGGGCGAGAATCAAACATTGCCGCCTGGACTTGCCATGACGCTCGGTCAGCCTGGAGCCCTGGGACATCGGCTTGTGGAGCCTGCTGTTTTAATCGCATGGAGGGTGAATGTTTTGGAAGAGAGCAGAGCAGGGCCGAGCTGAGCGCGGAGGAGCAGCAGAGCTAACAGGTGACTCGCACCCCAGTGAGCTTCCTGCACCCCTTCTCTCAGCGTCCTGCAGGTGGGTCTGCCTACAGCAGCCAGGCATCCGGAGACCAGAAAAGCAGCTGATTGTTTGTGGCAGACACCCCACCCTTTGTCCCAGCTCTATCGGAATCCTACTTATCTCTCTTTAAAGAGTTTCACATTTTCTTCTAGGAAATATTTTAAATTGTCAAATACTTAAAACATTTAGAAAAGTACAGGTAACAGTTTAGCCTCTGTATCTGTATCTATATATAGCTCCCCACCACCAAAATTAAGTAGGTGTTAACAGTTTGTCATACCTACCTCGAATCATTTTTATTCTCTTTTTTAAAAAATGTTTTCTCTCTCTTGTCTTAAAAAAATTACAGATTTGGCTAAGGCAGCACACTTAAATCCCTTTTTCCAACTTTCTTTCCCCCAGTTAACTGTTGGGAGAGGTCTCTGGTGTCTCTGCCCTGAGGCCTTGAGGGGCAGGCTGTCAGCTCAAGGGTGTTTGGACAGTTGTGGGCCTTGGAAGGCAGAGCTAAGTTTCTCCCTCCGAGGGGAGCCCAAGTTTGTTTACTGTCTGCTTTGAGGAAGACAGCGTCTCGGGGGAGACGTTTTCTTGCAGCCCATGTTGAAAGCCCGGGATTTCTCAGCTCTGACACAGATACACCGTGTAGATAGCATCTACCTGGCACCCCCGTGGGACCTGGGGAGGGAGCTGAGTTGAACCTGAAATGCATGCTGCCCGTGAATAATGAGGTCCTTTGTCTCTGACCCAGGTGGTTTCTGTCTTTTGCCAGCATCAGTGAAATTGTGGCAGGTTCACCTGTGTGGTTGGAAGGGGGCTGGAATCCTAGGTCTTTTACAGTTTTTTTTTTGTTTGTTTTTTTTGAGACAGGGTCTCACTGTATAATTGAGACTGACCTGGAACTCACTATGTAGCCCAGGCTGGTCTCGAACTCACATCGATCCTCCTGCCTCAGCCTCCTGTGTGCTGGGATTCCAGGCGTGGGCCACCATGCCCGGGTTTCAGTTCTTGATAGTAACTGCAATCTGGAAGTTGCTGCATGTAATTCTCTTGTAAATATCCTAGTACATATGAATCTATATGAATCTATAGTCAATATACATGATCAGGTCTGAAATTACTGGTAACTTCAATATGTCATGTTTAAACATTTTTTTCTTTTTTTCCAATAATATTTATTTAAAAAATTAATGACCATATAAAATGAGTGGCTGGACTAATAGTTTGCTACACCAAAGAAATTAAAAAAATGCTTGAGTTAAAGTTACAATAATTTATCATAGCATTCCTTAATAGAGACATTTTTTTTTTTGGTACTAGGGATCGAACTCGGGACCTTGCACTTGCAAAGCAGGCGGTGGAAACACTGAGCTAAATCCCTGGCTCAGAGACAATTTTAATTTTAGCAATTATGTTTATATTTAATACTTAAAACTAATAAACTTATTTTTTCTATTCATCTAATGTTTTCCATCTATATTCATGTTTATAAACCTTGTTACAGTTAATTCATTTTAATTGTTCTAGAATTATTAGCTTTGCATTTTATGAATATGCCTAATGTGTTTATCATTCCCTTTCCTAAGACAGTTCATTTCTACGTGTTTTCTGTTACAAACAGCTGAGGCACATCCTTGCACAAGTCTGTGGTGACTGTGTATGACTCTTTGTAGCACAGATATCTCAGGGCAGGACTCCGATATTGGAATATATGCAGCCCAACTTTTGCAGGTGTTGCCAAGTTGTTCTCCAAATTGGCTGTATACATTTGCAATCCCAGGAGTAATATGCAAGTTTCCAACCTTGCTGACACTGTGTGTTGCTCAGCCATTAATATTTTAAAGTCTGAGTGGTATAAAGGTTTTTTTCTTTTTTGGTACCGGGGGTCGAACTCAGGACCTTATGCTTGCAAGGCAGGTGGTGGAACCACTGAGCTAAATCCCAGGCCCTTGAATGGTATAAAGTTTTATTTGGTTGATTTAATTTTTGTCGTAGGTGAGGTTGAATATTTTTATAGCCTTTGGGTTCTGTCTTCTCAGAAGCCTCTTCATTTTTTATGGTCATAGTTTTTATGAGTTGTAAGTCTTTTTTTTTTGGAGGGGATACCAGGGATCGAACTCAGGTCCTTGTGCTTGCGAGGCAGGCGGTGGCGGAACCACTGAGCTAAATCCCCAGCCCTACATAATTATACACTTTAAAACATTTGCAAAAGAGAGCTGTTTTAACACTGTTGAGTTGTGACCAATATTCTTTCTGCTCCTACTTTCCGGGCGATACCTCTTGATGGTGGGTGATGGGATGTTTGGAATCTGACTTGGGTGGGGACTGAATTGGAAATGCATTTAGTTTGGATTTAGTGAAATACGCCCACGGGGTGCTCAGTCCATGCTGTACTGGCTCTTGCACTGCAGAAATGCTGCTCATAATGTGGTCCTGTGTTACCGGAAACGTCTAAGTGGGGAAGGTGGTTTTGTATCGCAGGCTCCAGAAGCCGCAGCGAGGAATTTTATTGATACAGTCATTCGATGTGGAAATCTGAGAACTCAAAAATCAAGGACATCTTATTAAAATAGAAATTATCTCCTGTCAGGAATGCACCCAACAGAGCAGCAAATAATAGCCATATACACGCCATATTTCATTTCTCTCTTGATGGGAATTTTCAAAATGGGATGCCTTATGTTTTCTGTTTGTAAGGCATAAGCCTGTAGCAGTACCATAAACAGCAAACACAAGGGAAATTACTCAGATGTAAAGGAAAACAGATACAATTTCCACAAGTGTGACAATTCTCAATATTTACTAGTTATGAAGCAGGAAAAAAATTGTACTAAAATATAAATATCAAAACCTTCCGCAACACCAAATTTTGATCAGTCATGTTAGAGAAAATATTATCATTTGGGTTTTTCTATAGAAAATGATAGCATAAAAATCACTGTATGAAGAAGTCATCAGAGGTTATAGCTCAGAAAATTGGTACTTAATGTAAATATTACATCATTTCTGGCAGCGTAGAATCAAGGCCTCTCTTGCAGTGTGTGTACCCACATAACTAAATCCTGGCCGGTAGGGTATGTGTCGGTTCCGTAGGACTTCTGTCATATACCGCTACAGATTAAATGGCTTTAATGTAACAGAAGTTTTGCATGCATTGTTCTGGAGGATAAAAGTGTGAAATCAGGACATTGACAGGCTCAGGATTTCTCTGAAGGGTCTAGGAGAGCATCCTTGTATCCTAACGCAGCATGCTATTATTTTAACCAATTACATTTGCAAAGCCTGAGGGGACATTACTCACACAGTCCAGTTCAGTACAGGTTAGGCTAAGCGAGCACTGCATGACTGAAAAGAGCCAAAGGCTGGGGCCAAACCATTGCAAGGCTCCCTCTCTCATGTCCGGAGGTTGACACTGAATAATTGTCCTCTGGGACTTCGGCTCTCGCTGTTGGCTGCAGTGTGTATGTGTGTCCCCTTCCAGGGATGGCCGGGCTCTGAGTGACCACGTGGAGAAGAGCCAGGAGAGAGCTGTCATGCCTTTTATACCCCGGCCCTGAAAGTCCCATGGCATCAACTTCTGTCGTGGCCACAGCTCACCCAGATTCAAGGATGTGCGTGTGTCTGTGCGTGTGCGTGCGCGTGCTTGCCTTCTGCCTTTCACTGCAGGGATATCAAAGTCTTTCATTACAATACAGATTTTGTTTTGAAAATCCCGCTTTTTAAAATAATTGCCTCAGTTTTATTTTTTTAAAGCATCTTTCCCCTTCACTGGGTGAAGCTCCGGAAGGCAGGTCTGTGTTGCCTTCATCTTCAGATTTCTTTGGAGTAACACGTGCACCCTTACACAGCAGGGGCTCCGTGAGTGTCTGCACTGCGAGCTGAACCGACCTCTCTTCTGCTTTGATATCGTGTTTCTGTCCATTCACTTCCGCTGTTGGAATTATTTCTGAAGTCATTTGTTGTTTAAGGGCCCCCTGTGGTTCCTGGAGATACAGGGCTATAAGTGTCTAATAAATTAATAATGTTATGAGTTTAGCATTTATATGATTTCTTGTATTTGCAATTTAGCAAGCATAAATATTTCAGTGTAATGGGCTTTTAAGTCATCTCCCAGTTCTGTGCCCCTATGGAGTGGGGCTTCCTTTCTTGTTTGTGCCCAAATACAAAAGAAAACATCTGCCACCCACTTCCAATTTACCATCTGTAGACACTGCAAGTCTTGTAAAAAAGCCCAAGCTCTCAATACTGTGCTCTCCTTGGTCACACTCCAAAGGGTGTTGATATTGCCATCTCTTTAGGAGTAGAGGTGGCTGGGATTCCTCTGTCAGTGGAACTATCAAGAGAAGGCCAGGGCTGGGGATTTAGCTCAGTGGCACCCTGCCGGCCCTGCAAGGTCCTGAGTTTGATCCCTGATATGGGGTGGAGGGAGGGAGAGAGGGCCGGTTCTTACCACTCAGAGTCAGGCAGAATAGGGGTTGTTTCTTTAGCTACTTGGAGAGTAGAACTGTAAACATGAAGCAAATTGGCAATTCAATGAGAAAACAAAAGAGCCAAACTCTGAGGTGTTGAGTGACTGAATGAAAATTTAATTAAAAGTATGCTGTAAATACTGATTATATCAAGAACATACCATTTAATCAGACTTGGGGGGGTTGTTAAAAGCTTTTTGACAGTAAAGGTTAAATTCTGTGATGATTAGTATGGTGACAATTACAGAAACAATCCTTGGGTGGTTAGATATTGCCTAATTAAAAAATCATTGATTTTCATTTGAATATAATTTCTTTTACACCAAAAATCTAACTTGAACCAACAGAACAAGTGAAAGAAAAGACAAATCTTGTCCCTTCCTTCAATAGGAGAACAAAAGAAACAAAGAAGTAAGAGAATTATTTCCTAGAGATCAAGCTGGAGTGAACCCAGTTTTTGAGTAGTGGCCTTTCTGACAGGAAGGCGATGACAACTGGATGATTCCCTTCCTTATTGTATAAGTAGCACTTTGGTATGAAGACAAGTTGAAGAGTTGATACGGATCCTGAGTCCCCTTTAATTCCAGCTTAGAGAATCATCCCAACCTGGAACTGGAGAGTGGTAAGTGTAGCTTTCATCTCTGAGCAACACTGGCCAGGACTTCACCCACCACGGATGCCACTGAAGAGAGACCAGTTAGGTCAGGAACAGAGCATCAGGGATACAACACTGTTCCCTGCATATAGTGACGAGGCCTCAGAATCATTCTTTTTTTTGTTTGTTTGTTTTTTGAGACAGGGTCTCCCTATGTAGTGAGACTGACGTGGAACTCACTATGTAGCTCAGGCTGGTCTTGAACTCACATTGATCCTCCTGCCTCAGCCTTCTGAGTGCTGGGATTACAGGTGTGTGACCACGCCCAGCCCAGAATCATTCTTAATAGTACATACTTATTAATTATAGCATCTGGACGAATGCGAAAGATATAAAGACAAAAATGCAAGAATATAGTTTCACTCATGCAGCACTTTCATAGAGGTGAGTACAAGCTAATTAGTCCATGGCCTTGTGGAGGGCACAGGATGTTGGAAAGCCTCTGTCAGGCCAGGGTCGCCGCCGTATGGGTGGTCTGCTGGGCTCCCGTGGGGTGGGTCTGGATCCTGTTTCCACTGTTGGACCTGCTGTCTATGCTTTTGACCGCTGATTTCACCCACTCGTGTTGTGGATCAGCACAGACCTTGAGGCCACGCCTGGTAATAAAACTGCAATGCAAGGAAGAGAGAAGGGGTTAGCCACATTCTCCAAGCCCCAGGGTAAGGAGTTAAGAACCGACCAACACAAGGAGACTTGTCCAGAAATCAGCCAAAGAAGGAGTCCTTGATCACCCACAGAACATCAGGACCAGCTTTCTCCCGCCTTCATTTGAACTACAGGAGGAAAGACTCCAGGTACATTCTGGGCCTCTGAGCCCCACAATTTCCAGACTCTCTGTGCCACCAGCTCTGTCAGACATTGCGACTCAACTGGATAACTGAGGTCACCTAGTTCAGTTATGACATATCCTGTTCCTTTCCAAACCCAGACATACTTATTTGGGGATTCATTTCTTAGGGTAAACCTATAAATATGCATTGGGGAGCTGCTACTGCTAAGAATGAGATCTGGAAAGAGAGACCATTCCCTCGACAGCCCTACCTGGCCCTGCGGGCTCGGTCCCTACCTGACTCCCACTCTCCCTTGGCTCTGGGGGCAAATCCTGGCCCAGGGCAGCCGGGCCTCAGCCTCAGCCTCATCAGGGGCCCGGTCCTCGTGCGGTTACCAGCCAGGCTCTTCCGTCGGGCAAAGCCACAGAGAGGACTCAGATTCTTATCTGGAAGCTGAGTTTGGGCAAGGTCATTATGTAGGAGGGCTGCAGGGAGACACCAGGACTACTGAGGGGAGAGCTGGGGGCGAAGTGGAGGCTTCCTCCGTGCAGACCCATATGTCCTGAAGGGGGCAGCATTTCCCCTACTTCGCCCTCTTGCTCCCCCAAGCCAGGCCACCAGCAGACACTCACATCACTGCCCTCATGGAGCCCTCCTTGATGGTGTAGGTCTTGATTCTCTTCAACGGCAGTGGCTTGGTTGTTAGACTCACACAGAGACGCCTTTCTGGGACTTCACTGCCCACACCTGGTCAAACAAAACAGGTGAATAGAAGTGTAAGTCAACGATCTCCAGGTGCAGGAGAGCCAGCACCTCTTACACGTAAGGAGGCAGGAATGCAGGGCCCCTGCTCCCTTCTGGAAGAGATGGTTTTATTGGCATCCTCAGTCTTCTGTGCATTGTGCAGTCTTAGTGTTTGACTAATTTAAAAGATTGGATAAAGTGCAGCCTCAGGCCCCTCATCACCACGGTGAGGGGAACCACAAGGCCTTTCCTGTGCTTGCATTCTCAAGTCCTCGGCGATGGGGAGCCGATGCCCCTGTGACACTCGCTCATTTCTGCAGCAGCAACTCATCTGGCGCCTGCGGTGGCCTTACGCTGAGGCTCTCGTGAAGACAGACACAGACCCTGCGGCCCGGGACAGATCTTCTAATGAGAGTCAGGGAACACGCGAGGGAGCGAAGGGAGGAGACGGTTTCACCTGCCACAAATGCGGCGTGTGGTGGGGTCGTGTGGGCGGGGCAAGGATCAGTGGGGGAAGCTTGCCTTCCCTGAACAAATCAGATCTGCTCGTTTTCATGGTAAAATGCGAAATATACAAAGGGAGGGTTTCCTGGAGCGTTCATCCTCAAAGGAATGGGCCCGGGGAGATTAAACTGTGACGTTTAGAGACCCACGCTACACTGCAGAAGAGAAAAAGAAGTCGCAAGAGCAAATAACATTAAGGGTTTGGTAAAATCGAATCCAAATTTCCAAGCACTGATCTTCTCCTTCGCTACGGACCCTGGCAACGTGCTTCACAAAGATACTCAGCCCAAAAGCATGCAAAGTGGCCACGGACGGTGACCGAGTTTGTTCTGTAATGTTGCTGCACCAGAAGGCATTTTGAAAAGCACGTGACCAAGCCAGGTGTGGTGGCGCACACCCCTAAACCCAACACTCGGGAGGCTGAGGCAGGAGGATCACCTCGAGTTCGAGGCCAGCCTAGGCTACATAGTGAGTTCGAGACTAGCCTGACCTACATAGTGAGACCCTGTCTCAAAACACAAAAAACAAACAAAGCAAAGGACCGAACACAAGCTGTTCACCAGCACTGCTTCTCTTCCTTGCTCTTTTCTGTTGTTCTCACTGCCAGTTTGTACAATCTTCACCCCTGCCTTCACCAGCTGAGTTTTAATGTTGAGCTGTCATCTAAATGTGCACAGTAACTCAGCAGCAGGGAAAATGACCCTGTAAGAAATCTCTGCTGGACGCTCGGGAGACTCAGCGTGCCCGGATCACACCAGGGGCGGCGGGCAGTCTTATTGGATGGTGTGCAAGGGGTTGCTCCGTCGGTTAACCTTATTATGATGTGATCTCTTACAAACTCGAGACGTCTGTCATGGGCCGTGGCATTCACAGCAGTAATACCAGGCTCCCGCACTTACTTGAAGGTACTATTGATTCTCTGGATATGAAAGTCTGAGCTCCAGTCATTTTTAATTTGATTTTTTAAATAGAAAACATCGATTTGCTTCAGGACATAGATCCTCTAACTCATTCCTACACTGCGGTGGAACTTTCAAAGATTTTGAGAGTTTATCACAATTGACAGTAAATGGGAGAAAACTATAAATGCGTTGCAGTCCTCGCCGTGATTCCATAGTTAACACTAGTTTAAAATTTACTATTTGTAAGATTTTGTGATTAGCTAGCCCGTAAATAATCTGAAAATGTATTTCTTTCAGCATCTGTGAGAATGTGCGCTTTTGTGTTGAATTTCCAAATAAGTAAGCATAGGCCCTGAATGGTTAGGAAATTTACCCCAGATCACCCAGCCAGGAAGAGCTGGAGCGGACACTAACGCATTGTCTCCGTCCACCCAGGGCCCTCGCGTTAGGCCGCCTTTCCCGGTGCATGCGGGAGCCCGAGGCTCACCTTGGGCTTGCAGTTTTCTGTGGCCAAAACCTGAGTCAAATCCCAAACCCGTGTGCCCTCCTGCCTCGCACCCCCGCTCCTCCTCCCCGAAACAGCTTCTCCACTTACCTTCCACGAGGCAGGCGGTGAGGCAGCAGGCACCCAGGACGGCCAGGAGGAGAAGTCTCATAGCTGAGGTCCTGCTGAGCTCTGCGCAGAGACGGTGGCTGAGGGCCTCCTCGCCAGACTCTTATTCCTGGAGTGGTGAGCTCACTTCCCGTGGGGAGGGGGCTTTCGGGTGGGTGCGGAAGGGCGGAAAGTCAGATAGTGGAAAGTCTTCGCTACACTGATGCTCGTTTTAAAACAAAGTTCCTGTGCCCTGTTCACACGAACCCCACACTTTGTGACCTTTTCCTCTCCTGTGGTGAACGTGTGAGTGACACCGTATTTGTACATAAAGAAAACGTGACTGTCTCGTCCCCAGCCACCAAAGTCAGACCTTCCATGGAAGATGTCCCCACAGCCCTGTCAGTGCCACGCCCAGTGTGGGGACCGAGTAAAGGACCCGAGGCGAAGTGGTCACTGGGGCCCATCCCAGAGCTTCAGTTCTCCTGTGTGACTCCTCAGAAGGGAAAAGGACTCTGGGGCCTCGTCATTTCTTGTCTTTATCTTAAAATTTTTCTCCTCTTCATTCATAATACATACATATATGTGTGTATACTTATATATACGTGTGTATAAGAGAGCTATTAAGGAGTTATCCTGCACGAACTTTGTTGTAAAAAAGAAGAGTTAATTGTCCATAATCTCATCATCTCAAATCTTTCATTTTTAGGGATCACCATCATGCAAATGGAAATTAAGACCATAGCATTACACTGTTTTCTTTCCAGTCAAATGGCCAAAATTAATAACTCTGATAATCGTACAGTACTGTGACAGCAGCAACACGGAGAAACATGGCATCAGTAACTGATACAGTACCTTGAAGAGCAAATTGGCATCGTCATAAGAGCTGAACATTACACACCGTGAATGTATTTGTATCTCAAAAGTTCAGCCCCTCTGTGTAATCTTAGGGAATTTCAAAGGGAAGGAGCACATAAATGTAGGCAGTGTGGTCACAATTTATAATCATATTTTAAACTGAATCACAATAAAAGACACAATGCCATTATTTCTCCTTAAAATAATTCTCCTTGTTTCTGACAACCTTAAATCATCGTTTTTGTCGCTGTCTGAAGAAGTTTCTGGAAATCCTTTTTTCTGTCCTAAGTTGTGCTCTTTTGGCTGCCGTATGCCCTGACTTAATAGAAAATGTTTTCCTTTCATGATCATTTTGATTTTGGAGAAGAGCCAGAATTCTCACAATGCCAGATCTGGTGACCAGGAAGATTAGGACACACATAATAATATCTTTACCACCCAAATAGGACCTGCTTTTTTTTTTTACCTTCCAAATGTATGACATTCCCTGCTTTCCCAAATATTTACCAATACATGGTTTCATTAATCATTTTCTCCATTTTCAATGTATAGTTCATAAATTATAGCTCATTGTTGTTTAATTTTAATAGCTTTGGCATCTGGTAAAGTTGATCATTTTGTCTTAATAGCTCACAAAATCCATTTTCATTGGAATATTTGTCCTTTCTTTTTTCCTTTATGTCAGTACTTTTATCACAGTTATTTATCTATTATATGTTCAACAACGGCAAAGCTAGTAATACACAAAAGTGAAAGTTCAACATATAATCAGTGCTATGTAGTTCTGACTTCCACTTTCTTCAAATCTCAAGAAAGTCTGTTCTAACAGAGAAATTCGACCTTAAAAACATAAATGAAATCTTTTCCATTTTTTGTTTCTTGCCTAAGAGCCAGACTCCAGAATTCTAGAGAACAGAAAAGTATCCGCTTCCCAGACATTTAGGGAAAAGGGGGAATGAGAAACTCTGCCGTGGACACCGGAAGTTCTACCATAACCCAGCTTTCGGAGTCCGCCAATCGCTTGGCTTTCAGCGACTCCGCGCTCCCACGTTTATATTGGGAACATCACTTGTCAGCCTCACGGAAAGCGAGAGCCCACAGTATTGTGTCTGCACAACACTCGGTAGTGAGACAATACACGAGCATCACTTTACAACCACGCTCCTTCGCTTTTACAATGTAGAGCAGACCACAGACTGTGCCAGACAGACAATGATGCAATTAAGGAAATGAAGGTAAGGAGATTGGGTTGTTTGTGGATTCATTTTTATCTTCAAGTTCAGGATAATTAAAAGGCAAAGGAGAGGTGGGGGAGGAGAGGAGAGAGAGAAGGGGAGATGAGGGAAGGGGAAGGGAAGGGGAGAAGAGAGAAGACATAAGATCTCATAAGAATTGAGCAAGTGGCCAGGTGTGGTGGCGCACATAATCCCAGCACTCAGGAGGCTGAGGCAGGAGGACTCTGGGAGTTTGAGGCCAGACTGGGCTACAAAATGAGTTCAAGGCCAGCCTGAAATGCATAGTGAAGCCCTGTCTCAAAAAGACACACACAGGGGCTGGGGATTTAGCTCAGTGGTTCCGCCACCTGCCTCACAAGCGCAAGGATCCAAGTTCAATCCCTGGTACCAAAAAACAAAACAAAACAAAAAAACCCCCAAAAGACACACACACAAAGTAAGCAAATGGCCCATGTAATATGTGTAAGATGCTGTCTTAGACACAGTAAAAAATAATAATGCATAACTCATGCTGTGGTGAGCGAGATACATATACATATATATCATATATTTATACCATGAACATTATATTAACATACATCACAAGTATATAATAATACGTAAATGCATATATGTTCATCATAATATGACAAGTACCATGGTACCTTCATTGAGTACTTGAAATGCAGCACTGACTCTGTGAGACTCTGGGATGATGAGGCCTAGACTCTCTTGGGCACCCACCCTAGGCTATGGTTCATACTTGGATAACAGACAGTCACCCGTGAGCGGAGAAGGAACCTAAGGAAGGCCATGGGGAAGGTAGACCTATTGGCATTTCGCAGGAGTTTTATACCACAGAGCAGTTCTGCAAGTGGGCTAGGTTCATTTCTGAGAAACTTGGGATGCGTCCTATGTTGTGAACGCGTGGTACACAGGACCGTGTTAGAGGCCGTGGGAAGTCCTGAAGAAAAGTTTGGTTAACTCAGCATCACCCTGGAACAAGGGAGATCACAGGTATTTTGATGGTGAGCTCAGCACAGGCGGGGACAGCTTGATACTTGGTAGAAATCCAACTGGATTATACATTTTTCAGTGAAATTCTCCAGCCCAGGGATTCTGTGATACTTTTCTCCATGATTATTATTCTGCTTTCCCTTTTTTTCCCCAACACTAGGTAAAATGTATTTGTCTCATAGTTTGGAAAAAAGTGTCTAGTTTTACTGTGCAAACACTTATAACAGTGACTGAACTGTTTATTTCCAGAAAGTGATATTAATAAATGATTTGAACTTTTATATTTGATTTATTTTTACTTTTACACAAGATACTGTGCAAAGGCAGTTAAATTTTCACCAAAAAAACCTCCCAAAAAGCCACACACAAAAATCAAGAGCCATATAGACAAAAAATAAAATAACAATTTTGTTGTCATAGACTTTGACAAACAAGATTCAAATCTGTAAAATTACTTTTAATGACTTGAGTCACTGGGTTTCTTTAAATGAAGTGATGGTATCTCTATCTGATAGATATCATCTACAATAAGCTCAGATTACTTTGAGCACAAGTTCCAGCCTCTCAATTTTGCAAATAAAGTTTTATTAGAACACAGCAAGTCCATTAGCTTACTGATCAACTATGGCTGCTTGGACACTACAAGAGCAAAGATTTCATGGATTTTAGAACCGAAAATTTCCGGTACCTGGTTCATACGGGAAGTTTGCTGTTTTTTGTTATGTTCAATAAGACATCAACTATGTAAAATATGCAGAGAAAAGAAAAGAACTTTGTTGAGGTCTCCTTCTAGAGGAGGGGACTCAGGGAGACAACCGTGGACTCAATGAATGACCCAAAGTTGATGGCTAATGGCAAAGTTTATTTCTAACACAGGGTGTTATATACTAGTTTCAAGGCCACACCACAGGCATGATCTCAGCGACTGGTAATAAATCTCAATCACAATGAGGCATGGGTAAGAGAAACAATCAGTCACAAAAAGCGACAAGCAGATATATACTGTTTAAGCTAGGAACATAACATCAAGATAAGATGACATCTGTTTATGACCAGAAGGGAGTGTAAACTGGGAACAAGAGCAAACACAGACTGCAGGGGATTGTTCGTAGGTCAAGGGATTTGGCTCCAGCACGTCACCTTCAGGACTCCTGTGTCCTGGTGAGAACCAGCATTCCGGGGCTTGGGGTCAGCACTTCGGCTGCCCGTCCTCTCGTGCCCCAACAGAACTTAAACAATTACACCAAAACATTTACAGCTAAGAACTCCCTTAGGAAGCACCCGAGTTCTTGGTGAAGCTGGAGGAGGGAAGAGGAAATCCAGCCAAAGCTCGCTTCTCACATCATGTGGTAGCTGTTTTAGTGATTTATTCCCTGTGAGTGAAAGTATATATATTAATAATTAATTATCTGGTAAGTGCATAGTTACCTTGGTTTCTTGATGAAGGGTGCACAGCCACCAACAAAGAATTCAAAGAAAATTCTAAAAAGCTTTGCGGTTATGAGAATATTCAAAACCACTGCTCTGCACCACGTAGGTATATATTACTCAGGGCTAGGAACCCTCAGGCTCAAGGGAACGGCGGAAATGCTGTGTGGTCACCGCTACAGAGAAGCTGCTTTAAAATAGACTTGGCCACATTGTTCACAGTCAGTGGAAACTCTGAACAGAACAGGTGAGAGTCACAGTAATCCACGCTCCACGTAAGGACAGGCTGGAAGAAGAAAGGCACCTCTCTCTCGATGTCAATCCAACCATTTTGACAAGATATTAATATTATAAGTGCAGGGATATTTTTCTCACAAGACCTTCATTTTTGCCATAAAGTCTACCATAGACACAAAATGCTCTGTGGTGCATGATTCAAAGCATTTTCAGATTTCCTAAACCTGGTGCAAGTGAGACTCAAGCTGTCTGCCAAAGAAAGACGCACCAGTCAGCAGCCGACACTGACATTAGTGGCCAGGAGCCGTCCGAGGAGCCCTTTCTGGAGGAGCCACGTGCTGCACGGCGACCCCTGAGCTGTGGAACTGGATCAGCCAGACCCTGGCCTGGCCCAGCCACCAAGGACGGATCGCATGAAGGAGAATGGCAGTCATCCCTACCTCGTAGCACCTGGATCAGAGACAGAACACGCAGCTCGCCCCCGTCACAGGAGGGACTCAGTAGATGGCAGTGACTGTAATCAGACGA